CTGAATGTTACTAAGTAATGCAATTAATGCTACTAAAATTAATTAAGAAATATAAGTTAACAAATATAATATAATTTTTTGATTAGTAATCCTAATTAAAATAAATAAGGTAGACCTTTTTATAGATAAACACTCATCTACGTAAAAACGCAGTTGAAAATATTGTAAAGAATGTTTCTAAATGGTAATTAAGTTAATTAAACTTCATTTGAATATCTTTTAGTAAATATAGACCTTGTGCCTTTATTTGAAAGTCTAAAATCCGTTACAATGTCATCGTGGAGTTATAAATTATGTGGTACCACCCTTTGTTACAACTATAAGGTAGAAATTATTTCAATATGTATTAAGTATGCAAATGTTACGACGTAAAAATTATAGAAAAGAATGTATACAGAACTACATTACGTTTTATTACAAGTTTTATATGAAGTTATAAAAATAACTAGGGAAAATATTGCGCAATCAAAATGCCTTGTTTTAAGAAGTCTGGTTTTTTTAATATTTATTACTTTTGACTTTCAAAAGATGGCGAGTGTTCAAATTTTGATGCTTTTGATTTTTCGATTGATAATATTCTATTCTTACGAAATAGGGAATCCGGGCAACGCAGGCGAAATGCTATTTTAGGGTTGAATAGGGTAATTTCGGTAACGAAAAATAAGTCACGAAATTGTACAAAAACTAATATTATAATGGACATAGAGATTTTGAGTCTCAAAATCACACGAGTATCTTATTATCTTAAAATTAAAAGTCGTGATTTTTTATTACGACCCGCCATTGTGTGACGCCATTGTGGCCACAGCTGTCATATTAATCATAAAGATATACCTGTTAATTATAAATCGAATAGGGATGATGACTAATTTTTATTTGTTTGTCCGTCAGTTAGAGTGTTAAAAAATATTAAACACGTATTTTTTTTATTTTTTTCGTAATCATAAAATTACGGCGTTACATTGAGTTGAAATTTTCCATGACGTCACGTTAGAGTACATTTTCTACTCGACTGTGACGTAGCGAGTCCCCACTCCTCAACTTTAATGAATAATTAGAATTCAATAAAAAGAAATAGCTTTAATCTAAGCTATTTCTTGTTAAATTGAAGTAAAATACGTATCTAATATTTTTCTATTATCTGACTGACGGACTAAATAGAATTGCATTTTTTTTACCCAGTCATCATCCCTATTCCGAGATGTTAATATTCTTAGCTCATTTATTTCTTTTTATTTCTATGGCATTGTTCTTGTTTTATTGGCATCCTTTAATCTTCTGTTCTATGCAACAGTTTTGTGCATAGAGTTAAGGTTTAATGTAGATATCACAATGACGTCATAAATATGGCGGACAGCGTTTTCGCGGGTGTAAAAAAAGCTTAAATTTTGATTTAATTTTAAGGCAGTAAAACGGATATATTTGTTTTATGAGTTTTTAAGTTAATATAAACAGTTACAAGTATTACTTCAAACAGAGCAGAATACCCTATTCCTAAAGAGGCCAGCCGCTATTTCTACAACAATTTAGAACAGAGTCCCATCTAAGATAGGCACACACAATTGCCCAGAGCGGCAAACACAAATGGCCACAAATTTGATTAATTTTTGAGGCGGCATTGACGCAAATCATGCTTTTTTCAGTTTTTAACTTTATTAACACTCAGCTTAATTGTTGTTCTTAATGATGTTTAACGTTATAAATTATATTACTAATAATAGATAATATCAATCTGTTGTTGTCTCAAAAAAGTAGTCTTGTTCACTATATGGAAAAATATTCTTAATGAAAAAGGCTTTAAAAATCCATTCGAACATAACCTTTCGCATTATTTTTCAGTTTATTATTATATATTTTGTGAATTTAAAATTGATCAAATATAATAATTAAAACAAAATTTTCATCTTTATCGAAAGTTTAAATATTTGTAAAAATATTTCTTTCGGCTGTTCGAGTGGATTGCCTGAACATTGATGAGAATACGCTCTGCAGTAACGAAATTGTAACGAGTGCTTGAAATATTCGTCAGTCCTGTTAGGTCCTGGGTAGCTCAGTGGTTAGAGCAGTCGCCCGGATAGCGATAGGTCGTGGGTTCGATTCCCATCTGAGAGTGCTGGGGACAAAATGGATTTTTTTAAGTATATTTCCCGGTATACTTCCTAGTAACTCTTAAAATGGCCAAAACTGGGTCATAATTTAAAAAGAGACACAAACGGGTCTCCTCTCTTCTGCTTGATGTTTCCGAAAGAATGGAATCTGCGTCACGGAGTCCATTGAAAATGTAGGACGCCGTGATCAACATTTTGTACAGTATTCGACCTCATTAGATAATGAGTATTTAAAAAAAACGAAAGCACTAAAAAAGCACCACCACTAGATGGCGACTCTAGCAAAAGTTGATTTTTGCAGGAAACGAAAGGACCAAAGACGGTCATTTCCCTTCCTTATAACTAACATATTAAAAAACTGAAATTTGCAAAGTGCGAAACTTAGATATCAATACAAATACGAAAAAGTAGAAATAGAATATGAGTTGTTTATTGAGTTTTGAAAACTTATTTACTTTTAAACATGAAAGAAAACCGGAAGGGTTGTCATGGAGAAATCAAGAACGTACCGTAGCGACATCTAGTTTGATTTCGGGAACTAATGTTTTTTTTAAATACTTCCTCATTAAATGTAACGTCACATCTCTAATACGCTTGTAATCATACCACATCGTGCCCATAGCGGTGAATAGGGATGACGACAAATTGTTTTTCGTCCATCAGGTAGATTGTTAAAGAATATTGAAAACACGTTATTATTTTTTATACATTGAGTTGTAATGAAATGAAATAAAAATGTGTTTATTCAAGTAAGCTTGTTTCAAGCACTTTTGAATCGTCCAAAAAAATTTTTTTCCCCACCACTTGTTCAGGACGTCCTTTAGCTGCCAAGAAGGACATGCGAAAGAAACTTACCAGCTCTTTATCATAAGTAATGACATTTACATAAATCATGTCATTACCAAAATAGTTAAAATGTTACATGACTTAACGCTTTTGTACACTCATCAACTTTAATGTCTGTTATCTAAAATATTATTTGTTTAATTGAAGTAAAAAAATACGTATCGAATATTTTTTTATTATCTGACTGACGGACTAGAAATCCTTTTTTTTTGTAGTTGTCATCCGTATTAAGGCGAGATTTTATGAAATTTCCTAAAAACCAAAACAATAAACGCAAAAAACTTTAAATAAGTTTTTTGGATCGATTTTCCGACTAAGTAGTATATTTCATCTATATATATACAAATAATAAACAAAAAAGGTTTTGATATATTCTTTCAATCGCATTTTTTTTCACACAATCATTTGGTATTTTCTTTTTTTAAAAATGTATTATGTATACGGAGATATTCGACCACAATATGTCATCAAGTCTCAATTTGACGTTTTCTGTTACCGAGTACTAACTTTAGGCCTCAACTTTTAAGATCAAAATTCACGAGTTTCCAAATTCATTATCTCCTGCTTCAACCCGGTGTATTTCGTATCACATTTCAAAAACAAAATCATAGAAATCGGCCCAATTGTTCTCGAGTTTTTAATTATATAGATAGGTAATAATAGATTTCGAGGTTGACTCCTTTTTTTGACTCGACTAAATAGGACTACCCCGTCCGCATAGGCAAACTAAGCAACTTCCTAGGGCGCTCGTATTTGGGGGCAAACAGATTATAATTATTTGAACGTTAAAAACTGCAGTACCTTAAAAACAAACCCTTTGTCCATGTCAATGTCCGAGGTGAAAAGAATTTTGATTGTATAAATTCATTCATTTACTTTTCCATTAAAAAACAATTTTGAATGTAGTTCTGTATACATATTACGATATACTATATCGCGTGTAAATATTTTCTATTAATCTAATAATAAATATCATTAATTAATAGAATCTGAAATAGCAGAGGTATAAATAGCCAACGTCTAACCATCTGAGCAATTAATAGACGTAAAGCACGTGACAATAATGTGCAAGAGCTTTCTTTAAAAATTGTCTATGTTAAAGTACTAAGGGTACACATCACTCAGTACCCAGTACGCTGCGTAGGTCAGGCGCTGAAAGGCTGGTTCGGATTCTCTTGAACATTTCTGGCATGACCTCTTAGACTATAATATTTAAATAAAAGCAAAAGGGTGTAGACACCTGCGACTTAATATTTCTAAAAGTTTTCGCGCCACTTTCACAAGGAGTATCATATCAGACAGCTAATTTGAAAAAAGAAGATTATGTTCCATTTTCTTACTTAACTAAAATGCAGTCGGTTTGTTTTTCATATTTATCCATAACTTATAGCTCATTTTACATTCATCTATTGACTTATGAAATTTATCTTTTTACAAAAGTATTATGAGGTGATTTTTTTATTAATTGAACCATAGTTGAAAACAATGGTTAGTAAATATTTGACAAGCATTAAAAACATTTAATATTCTGTAAATATTATATTGCTCGGATGGTTAAACCGCGGATTTTTGTTCAAAAAGAATAGAGAATATTTTTTTAAAATATCCGCTAGCGTTTTTAACAGCAAAAGATTTTTATGTTAAACCCTAGGAATAATGTTTATATCATGCTGCCGGAACAATTAAAAGCTTTAATTTGCAAAGAATTTGATGTTCCGTGCACATAACACTAGAACAGAAAAGGAAAACGAAATAAGATTTGAACTTCCTGGAGTAATTATTTTATTTCGAAATTCAAATTTTATTTCTTCCAAAAAAAGGTCCACACATCATTTTTCAAATCGCCATTCCAAAAGCGTAGACAAAAGTTGCGAACGAAACCAATACCTCGGCGAGTGTTCTATTTTTACAACACTGACAATTTCAACGAAAGGAAATATTAGAGTCTGTTTATTTATAATCATCAAGAGTTCCATTTTTGAAAAGCCGAGTTTAAATACTTAATCTGAATAACGAAAGAGCTTTTAAATGTTTCGGATTTTTGAGATGAGCCGCAAGGAAGCTGCCGCACTGATCCTGCCTCTACTATTGGCTTGGCTCACCGGGGACTCGTCCGAAGCCCTGAGCACTTTCGGTGTCTCCAACACTCGTCCACCCTCGCCCGCCCCTACTACACCACCTGGTAAACATTTTCTTATATAATGGGACATTATCACTTATTTAGACGCACTCACCACGACACTTAAAAAAAAAAACACAACAGACATCACTATTTCAGCAAAAAACTTTTTCGATAACACATTTCTTTTTTCAAAATTTCAGGTACACAACCTTTTTAGTGATTCATAAATGGAGGAGTATTGTCCCATTATGTAAAATTTGTTACCCAGTGTTAACGCGTTTCTAGACAACGCGTAGATGACGCTTTATGTAAATAGAAAACATTTTGGTAGTTGTAATACATTTGAATGTAGTAGATGGACTGAAGTTTATAATTCGTTTTACAGTGAACATTCCTTCGAAACTTTTGAGTGTCGAAATGTGCTTAAAGGTGTGGTGTGTTGTACTTTTATCGATTTATCTAATCGATGAAAGTTATCAAGGATTTAATCCGTTTTTTAGTGGCGCCAGAACAATACCTCCATTGTATCAACCGACACCGACTGTAGTAGGGGGTAAGGATTTTATATAATGGGACAAGTATATTTTAGATTCTTTTTTTGAAAAATCTTAATGTTGTGATTGGCAAAGAAGTTTTAATTTCACTTTCTTTTTAATTGGCCTGTATATAAGAATGCTGGTATTCAAAATTTCTATCACCGAAAACAGGTAAAGTAAAAGACATGAATATTTTGTAATAGTGACCAAATCTTTACACACAATACATATTATACTGAAACAGTGAACTCGAAGAACAAAATTATTTGTTCCACTATATAAACTCTTTGTTCGAAGGCAGCGGATCAGTGTGGCGCCTTTATTTAAAAAGAAACATACAAACTCATTTCGAACACATACATTCCAAAAGAACATTCGAACATTCATTTTGAAAAAAATAAAACACAACAATTTACCATAGACAAAGCACCACGTTTCGCGTTTAGAGAAGCAGTTTTAAAAAAGAAACAGAAAAGACGCCAAAGAGTTTCAATATGTGGTGGAAAGTCCAATCTACTATAATTATATCTGTGTACATATCATTGTATTTACAACCCATCGACGGTTTCGGATTCTCGTCGTGGGGTAAATCAAGCACGGATCCTCCACCACCACCGACAACCACTGCTTCGCCCGGTAAGATTTTTTATATAAAAATGGGACGAGCTTGCGCTTCTCATTGGTGATATACGACATTGACACTTCAATCACGGCCTGTAAAACAGTAATTCAACCTTTTTAATATGTTTTTTAAGTTTTAATCCAGTTTGAGCGATGTAGGTATATAAGGGTGAGTATTTCATTTCGTGCAAATCAGACGTTTCACAGAAAAAAATTGTGCCCATTAACGTTATTTCATGGTTTATTTAAAAGCTGGTGAATTTTCTATCATGAAACTGTTGAAGGGACAGCAATCGGATATTTTATTAAAAATTAAAGGTGTTCAGTTAATAGTAATGAAATCACACGGTAATAGTAATAAATAAATGTAGTTCTGTTATTATATAAGGTAAAATGCTAGTAAACTATCAATGTAAAATAGCTTTTTAAATAAAGTATTTTTTTTTAATAACTTAATAATGTATATTTTTAAAATTATCTATTCATAATGTGTAATTATTAAAAAACTAAAGGAAGTAATTCTAATTCATATCTCTTAACAAAATATAACGGTAACATAGTTCGAAACTTGAATCCGACACTGATATAGTGAGTAATTATGAATCTGAGATGGTTCCTGATTCATTTCCTCATTAGAAAAAAATCGAAATTATTACCACAATCCGAATCGTAGTCATCATACCAAATATTTGAATTACCATGTCATATCACGGTTACAGTCCTCATAAGTGGACTGTATTTCACACAGATAGAGGATTCACTTCCATATTGCGATGGAATGACCCAGAATATATTTTTTATCAAACGCTTTCGCTGAGTCCATAAAGCTATAAAATACTTTTTGGTGTAAAACTTACGATATTGCAGAGAAAAAAAAAATTAATATATGTTATTCCGTTTCTGAATCCCTCTTGAGGCTGCCACAAAATTCCATCGGATTTACTCATTCTTCATTCAAAGATTTTAAGCACACTTTAGCGGCAAAACCGAGTAAACTAATTGTTTATTCAGTTGGCTGCACATACGTGAGTCTTTCTTTGTATAGGACAGCAACAACTCCAGTCCATCGGTATCTTTCTTGCTTTCCAGCAAAGATTACGTAAGATCTAAAAAACATCTCGTATTTGAACACCACTTTACTTGATCATCTCCGCAAAAACCTTATCAAATCCTACAGCTTCTCCTTATTTTAGACTTTTGACGACCATTTTATCTATTCCATAATAATCCACCTCGAACTCGCTCATTGTACACAATTAGTAGTCCACAATACACAATTGTACACTATATGTGTTAGGGCGGCATGGCATTAAGTATATGCACGAATCTCCCTCCCCAGCTTTAGTTCTCATCTTTTATAATTATCACACTTCTTTACCTCTCTTCGAAATTGGATTCTTCTTTTGATCTTCCCAAGTTATTCTACTTCTTTTCCACTAAAGCTTTAGGAATAGGACATGCCTCTTTCTCTTGATAAAATCCCCAATTCTCACTTCTCTTTGCTCTTCACCAGATATTGCTTTGTTTCAACAGTATCACCTCTGTAGACTTTTGTGTCCATAAGAGTGTGCCGGAGTCGATTTTTTATCAGAATCCTATGTATCACACTTTTTTGAACATTGTTTCCATTCCCTCCAATGTAATTCTAGTTCAGAATTGCAATCTTATTGAATAAGCAAGGGTAGTGATAGGCACGTTTTTTTTAAATAACTAAACTTAGTTCGCTTATTTGAATCAAAAATACCAGTTCATAATTATTTTAGTTAAGTTCAATTCCTTCGGTATACCATATCATGGGGTATGGAATCTGGGAAACCGTCTGCCATTCACCTTCATAATGAGATGCTTGGCCCCCTTATTGGTTAAGAGTCGAGTAGGTAGGAAGCATCTTTCTAGTCAGTCGAGGTCGCGTAATGTAGACTTCCTATCACCCCAGCTGGTCCTTACAGAGAAAAAGAATTTCTTAAAACGGGATCCCACTCTCCTTTCTATCCACTATGAAGAGATCTGACTTTACGTTCTCTCTTGTAACCTCGCAGGTCTTGATAATCTAGAGACCTCGCAAGTTTTTTTGTCGAGTTATACGCAAGAGCCGCTAGTATTTAATCAGTGCGTCCTATAAAGACCACGGAACCAACGGGTCTACGTAGGACATAACAGTAAAGCTGGTCATTTTTCCACATTTGTTCAGTTTCAAGTTTTTTCAATGATTTTTATACTCTTTCGTGCCGTACACACAATTTACACGAAATGAAATATTCACCCATAACCATTTGTTAACTAGCCTTTTAGTCGTTCGTTCCGTCAGCAAATGTGTCCGCATTTGAAAGCAAATCTCGCAGGCCCATTTTTTCGCACAAATTTTGATGATACCTATGTCTGGCGCCCGTATAAGACAAATGGATTACTGAATTTATAAGTCGTAGTCACACATATAAACATTAATATACTTATTCATTCAACACCTCATGCGGCATGCTTTGTGGTCAATTTAATAAAACGAGGCTTTTACCACACCAACTCAAAAAATCCGCGCCGCCATTTTAGTATTCCAATAATCGACCATTTTAATAGAATCAAATCAAATGCTACAATGCATTTCGCACAACTACACAACGCTGACTACACAATAGGTGTTCTATATTTAAACAAAGAAATACCATAGATTATAAATGTGTCTTTTTTTAATGTGAAGAAGATCCCGGAGCTTTATTTCAGGGATTATTGTAATGCGGTGTGCATTTTACAGTGACCACAATGCTGCGTAAGTTTTAGAATATTAAACACAAATAAATGCAAAACAAAAACAATCAGCCATGTCCTGGTATATAAAAAATCTTGCAATATTTCTTTTTTATTATTTTACAATATGTATTTACAAAACTGTAAAACAGCAAACTCCTTCACCACATCTTGATCACGTAATTCTACTTACATATTAAAAAACTACTTAGTCCTACACAATCAGTTTTACTCGTTTTGAAAAATAACCTACTGAAAAAATCAATTGACTCTCTTCTTGCCTTTTGGGACGGCGATTAAAAATTGAACAATGAAAAGAAATCACAAACTAATGTAAATAGAACAAAATTCAAATCTTCCACTTTTCACTGTCACTTTACAAAATTATCGTCATTTCTATGAAAATTGGCTTAAATTAATGGAAATAAAAAAAAATCGAAATATAGTTATAGATATACACTCTATAAAACAGTATGCGAACTGAGTGAACACATTTAAAAAAATAAAAAGGAGTAATCGCGAAAAAGGTTTGTACACTATGCGTGTGTTTTGGCGGGTCGAGATGTGGTGCAGGAGGCAGGCAGCCGCGGTCATATTGCCGTTGCTACTCATCGGTTGGTTGACTGGTCAATCATCAGAAGCACTCACCACATTTGGCAAGGGTAACACAGAACCACCGAAAAAAGTCGCTCCCACTACGCCACCAGGTAAATATCACAAGCAAAGAAGTGTTTAAAAATTGTATGTAACCTTTTTCGTTAAAAATATATATTCATATTAACAAATTTATAATGACATCGGAAAAGCACATACACTAACTTTTTTTACCTTTGTTGTTGTTATTTCGAATATATATATTTTAATTAATCTAAGCAATGCACTGAGCTTTAAATGTTTGAATAAAGGCGCCAAAGAGTTTATAATATGTGGTGGAAAATACATTCTACTGTTACAATATTTGTGTACATAACTTCATTGTATTTGAAACCAATCGAGTGCTTTGGTTTGTCATCGTGGGGTAGAAAGTGGAGCACCGATCCTCCACCACAGCCCAAAACCACTGGTTCACCTGGTAAGATTTTTTATTTACAAAAAAAGGACGAGTTGTCATTTTCGCAGTTTAATATCTGTACGGCGTGTGAAGCAGTACATGTAGACCATAGAGCACGATTTTTCAGTTGGTTTTTTTTCCAATTAGGAAGGCAAACAGCATGCTTAGTTATTTTTAGGTTTCTGTCACTATCAGATTTTTCTAATACGAAGAAAAGTAAGTAAGAAGATAATTGTTGGATGGCTTGATTTTAAAAGATTTAAGGAGATAAAAATGATACGAAATATTTATAATGGTCTTACACAGAATATTTTTATTTTATATGTATACGAGGTCATTTGGCATGCTTCTGGTTTTATTTACAAAATAGAGTTACATTCTCGAGTTATCAACAATATTTTTTTATTAATTATGGTGCTTTATAATGTTTCTATGCACTTAGCTTTTTCTAATTATAAAAAAAAGTTAGTTATCGTGTAATGTCATACTGTTATAAATTATAGGTGGTAAAATAATTTTCCGATGTGTAATCGCTTTGGAATATTTTACAAATTTTGTAAATGACCTAACCATAATTTGTGTAGAACACGTGAAATTTTGAGAATACATTTTATGAACACAAAACCCTTAACGTTTCTATTCATCAATCATTTCAATGAGCCATTCTTTGAGGTTTGACATTTTGATAAATTACACAGAAGTTACTCGAGTTGCGTATATATTATAGCTGACTATAAATAAAACGGAATTGGTAACTTGGTATAATAGCCGTAACACCTTGGTCTAAAAAAAAAGTTTACTAATGGCGCCATTTTTGAAGTTTCATGAAAAGCTTACTAAATGTCGCTTTCTTTAAATTTGTTGCTATTTTGGTTGCGATAAAAGTGTAAATTTTAGGTTTTCGTGTTTCTTTTAATAAGTTTTTTTTATGTTCTGTAAATGTAAAGGGTCGGATATTAAAGTCTGGCATACATTCTATCATGTAGCTATACGTAGGTGTGAAATTTTTTAAAATAGATCCAGTAGCTTAGGAACTTTTCGATGCAATCAAACTAACAGTCAAATTTTTCCTTTTTATAATATTAATATAGATATTACAATTGGTTATACTTTTCAAAATTTCAAATTTACTCATAAAGACTCCGCAAACATCGTATTCTAAAATTTAATTCAAACTTTCGAGTAGTTTTGTAAAAAATCGGCCGTGACCAATGGACAGAAAAAGCCACAAGGATTTTTGGTATGGAACCCTAAAAATCACATGTTTAATACGAGATGGGATTCAAAGCGATAACCTTCTATTTTTCGATCTTTGTAACTGCAAACTTATCGAATACTAGCGGTTCCCGCTACTTTCCCGCGCTTCAATTATAGTAGAAAGTTTACCCCTTTATAATATTAATAAGTATAAATTCTAAAGATAATAATTTTTTATTTTAACCAAACATGAACACGACATTGCAACTGACTGAAAATTGGCTTCACGTAATAATTTACAATCGCAAAAGCAAATATTACATTAATAACATACCAACGCGAAATAATAACGACAAGACTAGTTATTTTGGTCTTGGAAAAAGTTATTTTCTTTGGCGGCCATCTTGTGATGTTATCGCCTTCCGTTTCCGCTGTAAGAATATTATTATGACTTTGTGCTTTATGTTCATTAAAAAAAGTGCAATTGCTATTTTGTTGACTAATTTGCAAATGGATTTTATCTTTGAATAAGCTCTACCATCTAAGCTATAAATAACATTTATATTATCTGATTCTTAATTATAAAAATGCTGAAACTATTTATACATAAGCGCAAGAAATCAGTATGAATACAGCATTATAATTATCAATCATCCATTTTACGTCCCCACTGTAGGCTCAGGCCTTCCTTATGGATGGTAAAGGAGGATCCATTTTACGTCCCCTCTGTAGGCTATGGATGGTTAAGGACAAATATGTTCAAGAGTTTTCGGGGCTTCGAACCCAAATTTATAATGTGATTAAAGGACTTCGCAGCCATTTGAAGGCCCCTCAGAACCGGAGACCCGGGGTGGAGTGCCAAGTCCACCTCTGATTAGTAGTTAGAATACTATTATTATAAGTTATTAATAATTCTTCCTTCTTTCAAATTTTAGTCTTTTGGGGAAAAATGTCTCCTGAAATTATAACATTTCTCGTGTAATTACTTCTCTCGACACAAATAAGTTAAACTATAATAATTCGGCCATCTCTAATCTAGTCACTTCGTTCTATTCATGGTTGCCATGTGTAATACAACAAAATATAAGTTTTAATTTCATCCCCCTATTTCATCCCTTTACGGGTTGAATTTCTAAAAAGCCTTTTTTAGTGCTCACTTACATCACGAAAGGAACCCCTGTACCAAATTATACCTAAGTTTCCAGGTACAGTAGTTTCGGCTGTGTGTTGATATTGTAGTCAGTCAGGTTTGTTTTTTTTTATATATATGTATATATACGAGGGTCAAACTGAAAGTTCTTAGAACTGGCCACTTATAAACAATATAATAAAAAAATAATTCTAAAATTTGAAAATATAACTCTTTGCCAATATTACTGAGTATATATTTCATTCATTTGTCATTTGTTTTACGATTTGGCGGCAAATTGAAAATTGTCTGTGTCACGTCATCATGAATTTAACACGAGAAAATTTTCGTGCAATGATTTTTTATGACTTTCGATGTCATTTAAGTCAACAAGAAAGTTATGATAGACTACGATTGGCCTTTCACGATGAAGCCCCATCTCGTGCGACTGTTTACAACTGGTTTAATGAGTTTAAACGTGGTCGCACTAATCTCACTGATGATTTACGTGAGGGACGGCCTTCTACGGCGACGACTGAAGATAACATCTGTGTTGTGCGGCGTATGATAGAGACTGACAAAAGAGTGACCTATCAACAGATTCGGACAAGCTTAGGCATCGGTATGAGTCAAGTGCACAAAATCCTCCACGAACATTTAGCGGTCAGGAAGCTTTGCGCCCGGTGGATACCTCATAATTTGACTGAGGCTCAAAAACTCCATCGTGTGGATTGGTGTCGTAAAATGATTGAAAGATTTAACGGAGGTGACTCAAATGCTGTGTTCGACATACTAACAGGTGACGAAAGCTGGATTTAAAAACTGTTATGATCCTAAAACCAAAAGACAATCTGCTCAGTGGGTGTTTCCTTTCGAGGAGTTGCCAACTAAAGTGAAGAGAGATCGAAGTGCGGGAAAAAAAATGGTGGCCTCGTTCTTTGGAAGGATAGGTCATTTTGCAACAATTGGAGGATCAGAAAACAGTTTCTGCAGAATGGTACACTACCAATTGTTTGCCACTTGTCTTGGAAAAAGTTCGAGAGAAACGACCTCGCAGTAGGATCCTCCTTCACCACGACAACGCCTCGTCGCACACCGCCAAGCGAACGATCGACTATTTGGCGACATCAAACGTTGAATTACTGGGTCACCCGCCGTATAGCCCCGACCTCGCGCCTTGTGATTTTTATTTATTTCCAAAAATTAAAGAAAAACTTAAAGGAAAGCGGTTTATGAATGCTGAAGAAGCGGTGGCTGCGTATCGCGATGCCATTGAAGAGACCCCTAAGGACGAGTGGGCAAAGTGCTTTTCCCAGTGGTTCCATCGCATGCAGCGGTGTATTGACGTGAATGGACAATATTTTGAAAAGATATAATAAAACTAATAACTGGCTAATGTAATCAGTTTTTGATTTTCTAAGAACTTTCAGTTTGACCCTCGTATATCAAACTAAATAAAGCCAGAACTTACCACAGGAGCTAAAATCAGTGGCGTAAAACACCTTCACCTAGTAACCCACATTCGCTAACAGATGGCGCTGTCAGATTGTACGCTTCCGATAGCGAGGATTTACACCGTGCAATCACTGAGCAACACTGACCTCTGTTTGTTATAAATCAAGTACAAATGGTAGGTCTTGGCTGTATGGACTTTTAGCTTCCGTATAGCGTGCCAAAATGGCCGCCGTATGTTGTGTCTTTATTTAAATTTCGAATGTGATATGTTATGTCACGGTTAAATTGTAAACGTCAGTTTATAATCTTACCAGCTGTTTCTCGCGCCCGCGTAAATTGTAGCCTGTCATTCGCGTTGATGTAGGTTCCCATTAGTGAAAGAATTTTTAAAATCACTCCAGTAGTTTCAGAATCAATGCAAACAAACAATGAAATTAACCTTCTCATAATCATAGTATAGATAAACATTTTTACTTAAACACACCTTGTTTTTAAAAAACCTTTTTGAATAAATTTTTATTTTTTTTAACTTTTGTATATTTCCTGTTAATTTTGTATTGTTCTAGTTGTTATAAAGACGCATCTAAAGAGCCCAAACACGATGCAGTTACGTCATTTCATCACTAAGTTCCTATGACCACCTTCCAACTTCAACATCAAATCGGCTTACTATTTTATATAATATTGCATTATCATCTGATGTACATATCTATGCAAAATTACAAATCTTTCAGACATTAGCAAGTGGGTTAAATTTGAGTTCCAATATTTGCTCACTAACATACTAAAAATTAGCTGTGCCCGACGGGGTCCTTAATGATAGGTACTTTTGTTTTTATGAACATTGTGGATTGCAATAAAAGTTAGAAAAGTTACTGTGACATATAATATAACTACAGTATTTATTACAAAGTACATTATTAATATTGGTTGTAATAAATAACAAATTAAAAAGATAATTTTTATTCAAAAGAGTTTTTTTATTATTCAGTATTTTTGTTTTTTTCTGTACAACATTTATGCCATTATTACGAGACAAAGGTATACAAAACATACAGCCTTTAATGCAGACAATAGATTCGAATACGATAAAATGAAAGAAAAACTACACACGTAAATCTAAAGGCCTCTGCGGTGGTATTTCTTTTTCGGAGTTCAACATCTAACCTTTTGTTATATCCAAGTTGGGTATGTGCTATCATTTATATAGTAGTATGGGGTACATTTGCATAGTTGGTCACGCGATTCTGGCCGAACTAAGTGCGTCGGTAGGCTGTGTGGCATTGAAATATAACCTTTGGATTTATTTTAATTCATTGTCCCGCAATTTCTGAATAATGTAAGACTGTATAAAGAAAAGTCTTTGCTTTTGTTAGAGCAATGATATTCAAGGTTGAAATTAGATTTTGGTCTATTTTGAATATGGAATGTCTGACTGAAACAAAATCTGCTTTGTTAAATTCTGGAAACTAATTTGAAGATCCTTTGGGACTGTATTTAAATATGAATTAGTACATTCCTACTCAAGAAAAAATCTTAAATAAAAAGCGATAAAAATATGATATGCAAACTACGACGTAGCACTATTCCGTAACGTTGCGTCGCGTAGCTAATATCTGATTGAAAAACCGCGTAGTTGTGAATTTGTATGAATGTCATTTATATAAATAAAAGGAGAGCTAATAACATTTTCTTCTTTTTATTTTTACATATAAAGCTTTGGTTTTTTGTATAAACAATAACAATATAACATCAATGCCATATGATTATATAGGTAGTTAAACGGATTCAAAAATTAAAAAATACTGATGATTTGTCTATGGTTACAGCTCGGGCGTGCTCGAGGCCGGCTCAGTGTGCCGGTATCAGTGGTAGTTCCTGTGTACGCACACATTACGATCCAGAGACAAGATGTCTGTGCGGAGACAATTCCTCACCTGTCAATGGACAATGCGAGGCGCAGAGCAAATGTAAGTACGAATCAGTTTAACCCATAAATGCTTATGATGTAGATTACATCACTAAACTTTTTCGTAATGTTTATCCATTTTCAAATTCACATTATTTATGTGTTTTAAATAGAGTTACAGTTAATACGATTTTGCGGATACTATTCCAACAGCCAGTTGCACAAACTTCCATTAAAATTGGCATTAGTTTAAAGCGACATTACTCATACAAATTCGACATTCATTAGAGCTAAAAGGCATCATTGAACAAAGTCAAAGTCAAAATAATCTTTATTCAAATAGACTTGTTAAAAGTACTTTTGAATCGTCTAACATTTTTTTCCCTACCACTCGTTCAGGACGTCTTTTGGCTGATAAGAAGAACGAGCAAGAAACTCACCAGCTCTAATAGGTGTAATGACATTTACAAAAACCATGTCATTACCAGATCAATACATTATAAACAGAGATAGAAAAAAAAACTATGGTCTTATAATGATAACATAATCATTTAATAATAATGGAAACAAGATAATGAGTTTAGAAGTAATCACCTATCCAGTTTCTGGATCATCTTAAGTCCAAGCGTTCCTATCTGTTATATAATCGGATACCTTATAATAAGCTTTTGAACCTTAATGAACCTTAATGAACTTTCGTGCAACTGGCCGTTAGTCAATTAACTTATACCTATTGAACTATATTATAAGCATCTATAAAATTAAAATTCACAGATACAACTAAAATAAAATACACATTAAAGTATAAAATTAATTTAGCATTTTTCCAAAATGTTAAAAAGTATATAGTCAAATTTAATACTCAAAGAAATCTTCAATTGAGTAAATTGAGTATATGCTCATGATGTAGATTACATCACTATACATTTTCTTTTAAATTTCGAGCGTATTCATTATATGTACCAACCCTTACAATTTTTTAACCGACTTCAAAGAAAAGGAGGTTCTCATTTTGACCCGTATGTAAGTATGTTTGTGCACGATTATCTCGCGTTTATCTGAACCGATTTTGATGGGGTCTTCAGCATAGTATTTGTCAGACTTAGGAGAAAGTTTTAGGTGTATTAACCGACAAAATTTTCGCACTTCAATACGGTTCTGACGCGGTTTTCAGAAAAGTATTTTTAATATTACCTATTATCAGAGATGTACAAAATACCCTGTACAAAGTATCTGGAATACAAGATACAAAATACTTTTAAATTAAGTATTTCAGATACCAGATACGAAATACTTTCGAGAAAAGTATTTGAAATACTAGATACAAAATAGGTATCTTATAAATACTTTTTATAAATACAAATACTTTTCTAAAAAAAGATTTGAATTTCAGTTTGATTATTAAAGACCACAAAAACCTAAATCTTAGACCAGATGGTTCCAGGGACAAAGTGGATTTTTTAAGCATTTTTCATTAGAAACAATTTTTGTAAGCTTTTATTTAGTTTCACCTGTGTTTGTACTCAAATCTTACAAGCTAAATTTCACCCACTTCTCCTCCGTTTTATTTGTTTATCAAGCACAATGTAACATATAAAAATGCAAATATTTAATACATCAGGTTTAAATAATTTTAAATTTTTTAGTTCCTTTTTAATAATAAGTTTTTTCAATATAGCATTGTGAATGAAAAATTGCTGAAATATAACAACAAGAATAATTATTTAAATTTAATTATAAAATTATTATTTATTTAAAAAGCTGGTTTTACGTACGACGTAAAATTACGGAGAACTGAAAATTCATTTTTTCCTAGTGAGGTGAAGAGAGTGGGTAAAAATAAAAACAGTACTTGGTTTTTAAAATTAATGGCGTGACTTGTGACGAAGTGAGTGCGCGATAGTATGTAACGGAACGTATATTAACTTTTTTGCAGAACTACCGAAAATTATGCCCCTTTAGTGTGTTAAGCTAATTTGAAATTTTTTAGTAGAAAATACTTAGCTTAAGTCGGGTATCCAAATTCTGGAAGAATTAGAAGTCTGTAGGCGCATGGTCTGTTAAGTACGGCGGATGACGGAGAACTTCAAACCCCAGCTCTTGTAGCTTGGGTACCGCCAATTGTGCAGTATGAGGTCGTACGTGGTCGTGCAGGAGCAGTGGAACCGAACGATTGACAAAACCTGGTTGGAGTTGTGCCAGCTTCTCCGTCATTGTGTTTAGTTCTTCACAATACACACATTAAATCTGCAGTAATGCTCGTCCTGTTTATTAAGAAGCTGTGATGAAATACATCCGTGTTATACCACCAAACAGCAACGTTTTCGTTTAGGGTATTGTTTGAGTGCTGAATCAAGGTCTAACCAACTTGCTGAACGCTTACGATTGTCGAACAGGATCCATTTTTCGTCACTAGTAACAATGCGGTCCAGAGTTCCTCCATTTGTATGCCTGTTAAGCAGTACAGTGTCTCGACACGTACTTCGCGCTGGCGATCATTGAGTTCGTGGAGTACCCATTTGTCAAGTTTTTTTACCTTCCCGATTTGACACAAATGAATATTGTTTTGATGCTAACGTCGAAGCTGCTGCTAATTCAACCGTAGATTGAGTTTCATCAGCTTCCACAATCGCCTTGTCGACCAAAGTTTCCAGAACGGAAGCGGGCAAACCAATAACGGGTGGTGCGTTCGTTTGTAGTGTTCGCTCTGCAAACGTAATGTTGCGTGCCGCTTGTGCCGCTTTGCTGCCACGATGGCACACATACTCCTCAAATTACTCAAATTTTTAACTTATCCATGACGACGAAAAATATTCAAATGCATTGAAAACAAAACACTTACTATTGAACAAATGACGATTTTAGAAAAAATAATTTGATATTAGAATTATCAGCCAAAAAAATAGTTTGATTTTAAATGGCTAGTACAGCAAAACGACAATTTCATAGGTAAAGACCTAATATTAAGACAGGACTCCGCCCATTTTTTTGTTGTTTCTCAATAAAGATCCCTTGAATTAAATGGTTACTTATTAAAGCAAAATCTACTATACGATTACATCACAGATTGTGTTGTATTTTTGAAAAATAAAGGAGTATTAATTGACGATGTCAAAGAAATTATTTTAAGAATTTTTTCTATTAACAAATTTATTTTTATGACGAATTAGTTGAAAAGCAGTGGGTAATTATTTTCATATATATGCAATGACAGCACGCGTTTCTGAACTACTGAAGATTTGTCAGTTTTTTTTGTATTATGCCTCATAACATAATGCGAATATAGATTTTTTTTTTTCGCTCATGAATATGCAGTGGGCAAAAGATAGAAAAAGATTAACTGTTGAGTCAATAAAGGCAATATTGCTTTGCTCACGGGATATAATTTCAAGCATTTGCCATGTATCGAATTTCACAGTAAAATTTCTTTAAAAATAAACTTTTTGAATGCTGTTGTTAGTGGAAAAAGTATAATGTGCAAAAAAATAATAATATTTAATAATGAGTTTAATTGATATACTGAGTTTTATTTATAGCATATAACCGGGTTTTTACATAAATCAAGATTTTTTACTGCTTGTAACTGGTTATTCGATTTCAAGCCCTATGCGCCATCTATCAATTTTTACTAGGGAGGGTGTATTACACCGGTATTACCATACGTTGAGTTCAACGCATTTACTTTTAAAATGACACCAAAAAATGTTTGGATTCGAGTTATTTTTAACTAAATATTCATTGCGTTGATAATTGGACACTTTCTTTTTGTAGATATGTATGTTTTAGGCAAATATATTTATAAAATGTAAGAAACAATCTTTTTATAAAGTATTTTATCAGAAAAAGTATTTAAAAGATACTAAGATACTAAACAAAAGTATTTAAATACAAGATACAAAATACTTCCTAAAAAAAGTATTTTAGACACAAGATGAAAATACGTATTTTGTATCTTGTATCTGTATTTCAAATACTTGTATCTAAGATAAGTCACATCTCTGCCTATTATGTAAAATATCAATATCACTAAAAAGTATGAAATAAAAACTATTTTTAAACAAAGAACCGATTTCAAAATTTAAAAAGGGATAAATATTACTTATTAATGATTAGTCAGGCAGATAAATAATTAATCAAGCGGAGGTTTTCTGTAGGTTATTAATTATATAATAGGTGCCAGACTTCAATAGCATTTTCTTTAATAAGTCTCTTTTGAGATAAGTATTATTTTACACTTTTTTTAAGTTTAAAGTCGGTTCTATTTTTAAGTAAAAAAAATCATCCATTTGTGGTTTAATTCATGTGTGCCGATAATTACTTTATTTTGATCCTTATTTTCTGGTGCCTTCTGAAAAATCTTCACTCCAGTAGTAAACTGGTACTCCAAACCCCTTTTCACAATTCTTCATTGGTATCTCATTCGTCATCATCATCATCATCAGCCCTTTTACGTCCCCACTGCGGGGGCTCAGGCCTTCCTTATGGATGGTTAAGGAGGATGGGCCATGATCCTCCACGCTGGCCCAATGCGGATTGGAGGGTATTAACGACTGCAAATGCAGCCGGGACCAACGGCTTACCGTGCCTTCCGAAGCACGGAGTAACTCGAGATAATAATTTTTCGGTCACCCATCCCGTGACCGACCCTCGCGAAAGTTGCTTAACGACAAAGATCGCGGGCCGCGGCGCTTATCCACTACGCGACCGAGCTACTCTAATATCTCATTCCTTCATTCTAACTGCTGCTAAAAATTCTAAATTGAATTTGAGTACACAAGACAGCAGTTCTCAACCTTTACCTTGCTTCAAATTCAATTTCTTGATCTGACATCAGACTCTGTTCCTACTTCATCGGCTTGTCTCTGAATGTAGAAAAGTAAAATATCTCAACTGATTAGTCTCAATAACTCAAATATTTTACGTTTTACATGGCAAAATGTCTTAGTTTTGTCGAACTTCTATGAACTGTTCATAAAAAAAAAACTTAAAATCATTATAATTATAATCATTTATTTGCCCAAAGCACGGTATAAAGTTGTTACAAAATTTTTAATATCCACA